AAATGCCATGATTTCATTCTCTTTTATTGCTGAGTAATATTCCATTGTGTATATATGCCACATTTTCTTTACCCATTCATCTATTTGAAGGACATCTAGGTTGGTTCCACAGTTTAGCTATTGTGAATTGTGCTGCTATAAACATTGCTGTGGCTCTGTCCCTGTAGTATGTTTCTTTTAAGTTCTTTGGGTATAGACCAAGGAGTGGGATAGCTGGGTCAAATGGTGGTTCCATTCCCAGTTTTCCAAGGAATCTCCATACTGCTTTTCAGATTGGCTGCACCAATTTGCAGTCCTACCAGCAATGATGAATGTGCCTTTCCCCCCACATCCTTGCCAACACTTATTGTTGTTTGTGTTCTTAGTAGCTGCCATTCAGACTAGAGTGAGATGAAATCTTAGAGAAGTTTTCATTTGCATTTCTCTGATTGTTAGAGGTGTTGAACTATTTTTTATATATTTGTTAATTGATTATATATAATCTTCTGAGAGGTGTCTGTTCAATTCCTTGGACCATTTATTGATTTGGTTATTTTTGGGTGGGGGATTTTGAGTTCTTTATATACCCTAGAGATTAGTGCTCTATCTGATGCGAGAGTGGTAAAAATTTGCTCCCACTCTGTAGGCTCTCTATTCATATCATTGATTGTTTCTTTTGCTGAGGAGAAGCTTTTTGGTTTTAATCCATCTCATTTATTGATTCTTGTTATTTTTTTGTGCTATAGGAGTCTTATCAAGGAAACTGGGGCCTAATCTGACATGATGGAGATTGGGGCCTACTTTTTCTTTTAATGGGTGCAGTGTCTCTGGCCTCATTCCTAGGTCCTTGAACCACTTTGAGTTGAGTTTTGTGCATGGTGAGAGATAGGGGTTTAATTTCATTCTGTTGCATATGAATTTCCAGTTTTCCCAGCACCATTTATTGAAGAGGCTATCTTTTCTTTAATGTATGTTTTTGGCACCTTTGTGTAATATAAGATAACTGTAATTATGTGGGTTAGTCTCTGGGTCCTCTATTCTGTACCATTGGTCTACCAGTCTGTTTTGGTGCCAGTACCATGCTGTTTTTGTTACTATTGCTCTGTAGTATAGTTTAAGGTCTGGTATAGTGATGTCACTTCTTCACTCTTCCTGCTAAGGATTGCTTTAGCTATTCTGGGTCTCTTATTTTTCCAGATGAATTTCATGACTGGGTTTTTTTTTTTTTATTGCTATGAGGAATGCCATTGGGATTTTAATTGGAATTGCATCAAATCTGTATAGTGCTTTTGGTAGTATAGTCATTTTGACAATATTAATTCTGCCTATCCAAGAACAAGAGAGATCTTTCCATCTTCTAAGGTATTCTTTAATTTCTTTCTTTAGCATTCTGTAGTTTTCCTTGTAGAGGTCTTTCACCTCTTTTGTTAGATTGATTTAAATTTAAATTCTCTGAAAGGGAAATGAGGAAAACTACCCCATTTACAATAGCCCCCCCCCCAAAAAAAATTCTCAATCATTTAAATTTGGTTATTTGTCTTTTTGTTTTTATTTGTAAATGTTTAAAGAACTTTTATCATAAATCTGGCAAGAAACTTTTATCTAAAGAACATATAAAGTATAATGGTGTATATGATAGGCAAAAATTTCTTTTTAGATTCATGATTTGCAAATATTTACTCACATTTTATAAGATGTATGTTCACTGTCTTGTGTCCTTTGAAACACAATTAAAAAAATTTTAATAACATTTAATGTGTCTTTTTTTCTTTTATTGCTTGCTCTGTTAGTCTATATTAAATCATAGTGAACAAAAAATAGTAATGTCAAATGTTTACAGGAATACAAAAAAAATGAATTTCTCATGTATTCACTGGTGAGAAAAATGACACAGTTGCTCTGGAAAACAAATTGTTAGTTAACAATTTGTTAGAAAACAGCTAGTTAGTTAAACATACAACTGTCGTATGACCCAATAATTACATTCCTAGGCATTTATCCCAGAGCAATGAAATTTTATGTTTGTACAAAAAGTTGTACACAAACCTTTACAGAACTTTACTTGGAAGAACTGAAAACTGAAAGTAGCCCATCCGTTCTTCTACAGGCAAACGTTTTTAAAAAATGTGGTACATACATACTGCAAGATAATCATCAGCAATAAAAAGGAATGAACTATTGATAACATAATAATTTGCATGAATCTCTAGATTATTATGCTAAGTGGAAAAATCCAGCCCCAAAGACTACTTCTCATATGTGTATACATACATATATGTGCACACATACACATTAATATATACATTTTATTTAACATATAAATATACATATCTATTTCTTAAAATGGAAAAGTTACAGAAATGGTATACAGTAGTTGCAGCAGGAGATAAGTGGCATAACCATAAAAGGCTATAAAAGATCAACAGGAGGCATCTTTGTCATGTTGGAAATGTTCTAATCTTGACATTATCAGTGTCAATATCCTGGCTAGGACATTTTATTATATGTTGTAAGTTATTCCCATCGAAGGAAATTAGGTAAAGGTGACATGAGATCTCTATATTATTTCTTAAAACTGTATGTGTATTTACGGTTATCCTAAAATTAAACATTTAATTTTGTTTAGGGCAAATTAGGGAAAACTCACCCTTTGAGAAACAAGTTATTCACTGGGATACTCTCTATAGGTTACACTCAGAATTCTGTCTAGCCTTTCACAACATTTCACAAAGAAGAGTGTGATCTAGTATGTATGATCTTTGTGACCCAGAGTGATACCCAGGTAAAGGTGGCCCTACTTTGTGAAGATAGTGTTACTGGCATTTACTGTGAGGAGTCCTTGCTTCCTGGAATGCTGAAGCATAACACCGGAGAAGCATGCCAAGGCAGTAGAGTGGAAAGTGGAAGGTTTTATTAAAGGATAGCAGAAAAGACACCCCCACCACCAGGAAGAAGGGGACCTGAAAGGGGAATTGTGGAAAGGGGAAGTCTTCTCTCTTTTATATCTAAGATCTTCTTTTGTTCTTCCATGTTCCTGTCCTTTATTTCCCTCTATCTTGCAATGTGATGGGGGATGCAGGTGGGAAGGCCAAAAGGCTGGAAACAATGGGGCCAGGAGGAGCCATCTGGGTAGGAAGGGTCTGGGGTGGTTTGATTAGCATCTTGCAGTTTTACTGGGAGTTGCTTCATTAACAGTTCTTTAGGATGGCCTAGGGCCTTAGGGACATTAACATTTCAATTTCCCAGGTGTTGTTCTAGTTTCCCTGGACTCAGACAGGACTCCATTTTCTTTATTAGACTCCATTTGCCTAACTACACTAACTACCTATCTTTAAATCTGTCTTCAATAGTTTAATAACAAGTGCACACTGCAAGGTTTAAATGAGTGACCCTCCGCATGGGTTCTTATGGTAACTTTCTCTAGTTGGATTGTTAGTCTACTAGATTGCTGCTCAGAGTTCTGAAGTAAACATTTAAATCAGTCAACAGATGGATTGTTTTTGTAGTTCTGGGGATTGAACCCAGCACCTCATGTATGCTAAGAAAGCACTCTATAATTGGAACGCCTTCTCAGCCCAGCCAACAATCTTTAAAATCTAAAATTCTTGTCAGGTTATGCTTTAATATAATTAATTGTGAAATCAAGCTGGAAAAGAAAATATACACCAAAATCAGACACACAGAAAATCAAATACATAACATGAACATGGGGAATCAGAAGTGAAAAGAACCACTTCTTCAATGAAAGTGCAAACAGTACTTGACTCAATTTAACTCAACATTATCAGTGCACACATTTTCTTGTACACATTTTTAATTATGAGTTCTTTTAATATTGGCTATAAAATATCAACCAGGATTTAGCTTAGCCTGAAAGATACTGGAAGACACCTCTAAAATCTTGTTAGGAGAAAATATCTCTAAGAAGAAAAGAGAGTTACTGAGACCACCTATCTTCCAACCAACTGAAACATCAATTACCAGCAAAAGCACAAATTAAAAGACTTTTCATTTTGTTCGTTATTAAAACGTGTTAAAGAAATTTCATTAATAACATTTGCTAAAGGTGAAAGACGATAAAGTAAAAGTGCCAGTCACAACCAACTGAAATATACTGAGCTATTTATATCTCTAAAACCAACAGACCCAAATAAATTAATAAGCTTACACTGATTAATTTATGTAAACAGAAACATTGAATTGCCATAATTTTCATAAGGCTATTATATTATGATTTTCATAAGCAATTTTCTTCTAAATTCAAAACTTGCTTTGAATAAATAAAGTGGTAAAGAAGGGTGTCTATTTTTTTATAGGCATCAGAAAATTCAAGGTTGAGTCATGAACATCAATTGTTAAATCTGATAACACTTTTATTCTTAGCTTAAGGTGTTTGTATTACAATATCCCTCAGTATCTATGGAGAATTGTTTTCAGCAACTCTGTCAATATCAAAATCCATGGATGCTCAAGTCCCTTAGTAAAATAGCATAGTATTTGTTTATAACCTGCTCACATATTCCATATACTTTAAATCATTTCTAGATAATTTATACTATTTATTTATACCGTGTATTATATACTACAATATAAATAACATGCACGTAGTGTTATACTGTATTAAGGGAAAAAATGACAAAAGGATGTACATATTCAATACACACATGCAATTTTTTCCAAATATTTCCCGTCTACAATGAGTTGAATGTATAGAGAGAGAACACACAGATGTGGAAGATCAGTGATTTGATTTGTACATGTTAGCCTCACCGTAAATGTTGTCTGACTTGAACTTACTTAAGACCAATGGGAAGAACAGTAAGAAACATACTGTTCAGCACAATATAGGGAACTAATGTTATACAATCAAAGAAGTTGCAAGATCAGGCAGCATCCATCTAGGTGAAAGTTCACATAAGCTAGATCACTACATGTAAGAATTCTAGTAGAGGAGACTTACACCATAGTGGGAAGTTGAAGTAGGTGAACAAGATTTAGCTTCCCCACAAAGCTCTCTGATCCTATTTCTGCAATTTCACCCTGGACAGAGCATCCCTCAGAGCCTGGTGGACCTGCTTGTTGCGCAGGGTGTAAATCACAGGGTTCAGTAGTGGGGTCACCACTGTGTTCACAAGAGCAGCCTCCCTGTTGGAGTCCAGCCTGCTCGCTTGCTTTGGTTTTACATATATGAAGACACAACTGCCGTACATCAGTGAAAGGACCAAGAGGTGAGAAGAGCAGGTGGAGAAAGCTCTTTGTCGCTCCTTGGCTGATGGAAGACTCATGATTGTGACTACTATGTTGCTATATGCAATGATGGTTATAAAAAGGATAAACAAAGCTATACCAAAGGCCAGCATTTCAATAGATCTGGTCTCAGAACAGGAGAGATGGATTAAGGAGCCTAAGTCACAGAAGAAATGAGGTATGATGTTGGAGCCACAAAAGGATAACTGGGAAACCTTCAGGATCACACCAGTGATAAAAATGAAGGACAAGGTATAGCAGAAAAACACCAGAAGAAAACAAACCTTCAGGCTCATGATAGTTGGGTAGTGTAGAGGCTTGCAAATGGCCAGGTATCGATCCAAGGACATCACAGTCATGAGGAAGAAAATTGTTGACCCAAGAAATAAAAAAGAAAAGGCCTGTGTGAGACAAGATGTAAAATTAATTGTTTGCTGTCCTAAAAGAAAGATGGACAGCAATTTAGGAATAACTGTGGTGATGAAACAGAATTCACAGAAAGAGAAACTGCTGAGGAAGAAGTACATAGGTGTTTGAAGGCGATGGTCAGTCCAGGTGATGGTGATTATAAACATGTTTCCTGTGATTGAGGCTAGGTATGCCAGCAGGTGCACCAGGAAGAGGACCTTTCCCAGATGCTGGACTGCAGGAAACCCCAACAAGGTGAACTCTGACATGGTTGTCTCATTTCTAAACCCCATGGTTATCTCCAATTTTCTGTCATCAACCTTCTTTGACCTGTTAGACAGAAAATACTACCACCCAACAAGAAAGAATTTAATTGACAGCCATGTTAAAATAAAACAAAAACAAAAAACAAACAAACAAACAAACACAAACTGCTTGTGGTTACTATTCTGAATGAGCACTTGTTTTCTATTTTTTAAATAGTTTATTACAAACTATATTGAACTTTTCCCATTGTTAAATTGCAGATCTTCAAAATTTATTTTGGGGGCATTTTTCATTTTAGTTTTGTTGTTTTGGGGAATAAGTTTGATAAACAATGTAACTTTTCTGAAAACAGTATTTTTGGAAATACTTTGTAAGATAACAAAAGGCAACATGAAAATCATTATTTTTTGTTTGACAAAATATATGACTAATAGATAACATCAAAGGCTAATACCCCACAGAAAATATTCTTTCAGGGTGTTACAATATTAGTTTCTATATTTCATTTGGGATATGCATTCTATGAAGTTCTATCCATTGAATGCAGCATTCCAAAAATCGGATAAAAATCTAGGTTCTGTTGCCATGTTCCAACCCAGTTATTTTTCTGAAATCTGATTAGCCTGAGTTCTTTAACCGAGACCCATGAGTGTGTGAGGAAAACTCATAAGAATAGAATCTCATAATTTCCCTGTACACAGATTTTTAAAAACTATGTCTAAAGACGGGGGAAATAGTTGTATATCCTTATCGTTAAAGCTCAATGAATAACAGGAGGCAAATCAGTGTTCCTCTCATCCTACCAACCTCATAGAATGGAATTATTTCCTTCTGCTATCAGTCAAGGCATTTATTAACTTGCCCTTAAACATTTCTTTTTCTGTGAACATCATTGTTACATTGGAGGATTCTTGTATATATGGAATCACACCTAAATGCTCCTAGCAATCATGAAAGGAACATTAATATTTTAAAGCCACTACTTAGCTAGAGAGCAGATGAAATGATATCTAATATGGTGAAATGAGTCCAGACAACAGTTGGAAATTAGGCTCTAATGAATAGGTCACTATAATTAAATCATGTTTCAAATTATTTGATTTGTCCAAACCTGTTGCTTTAATTAAGTATGGTCCACAATAGTAGCTTGTCAGGGACTAGAAGGAAATTCTCCTTCAAAGATTAGCCTGACAGCCCCCTGGGAGACATCCTGCCTGGGAGGCATCCTGCAGCTACCTATCTCCCTGGAACATCCTGCGGTTATCAGGATCATCAGACATCTTGCACCTGGCAGTTTTACCACCCACATCCAGCAGTTGTTGATTAGAGAGCTTCCCCATCCCCAGCATATAAATACCCCTGTGTGAACAATAAAAGTTTGCAGCTTGATCAGAACTTTTGTCTTGCTGTCACCTTTCGTGTCTCTTGTCCCTTCATTCCTCCCCATCTAGGTTCGCTGCCCACGTTGATGTGTCCTGCCGGACGGGACATTAGCTTAATAATAACTAGTCACTGGTTAAATATTTGATACATTAGATTGGAAATCATCCCCATGGTCAATACTCACCATCAAGTAGTTCACTGGAAACACAGCTTCTTCAATGATGAGCTGCCAAACCAGAATCTTTTTCCTAGGCTAAAGGAAAGGAAAAGGGGGGAAAAATACTCTTAAGTGAGATCTACCCATTCTTGACCTATAAAACAATCAATGGATCACTTATGTCTTAATCAATATAAAATTATTAAGGCTAATTAATTTAAGGAAGACAGAAACTACCATCAGTGGAACATTGTCACAGTTTTCCCTATGGCAATCTGGCTGATAAATCCTAGAGCATGAAGACGGTAATAAATGCCTAGAATCTGTACAAGTATTTGTGAGTACAGCTATTTAGAATTCTTGAACATATTTATATTCATTCTATGGTGCATATTCAGTCACTCTGGGACATATTTATTTTGTATGGGGCATGATGACATAGTCCATCAATAACATCTAACTTGGTTCATTGTGCATCCATACCAAAAAAGACTCAGGAGAAGACAACCAAGGTCAAATTTCCTTGTTCATGGACCCTTTTGGCTAGTTCCCTGTCAACTAGAGTGGCTCACCCTCTGAGTTGGTGAGAATCATTGCAGTCATAAATGAAAAATACATTTAAATGATCCTATGCTGTATTACAAGAGGATTATTTAAAATTATCAGTTAGGTCACATGAATTCCAAAAGAACAAACCCCTGGAACACTCATTAGAAGATAATGAAAAAGGATGCAGGACCTAAAATCACAATTGATTCCCAGGGGACATTTAATTGCTCATTGTCAGAAATAGAAAACTTCAGTAAAAATATATTGTTAATTATATTTTACTGCATATGGAAACATATCGTCATTCTCAATAATCTACATGGTTCTCTGTTAATGTCTTTAGAGGTAGATTTGGCATAACTGCCCCAGAGGCATAAAACTTGTAAAATCATGAATTATGTATGTAAAGAAATGTCCCGTCCGGCAGGACACATCAACGTGGGCAGCGAACCTAGATGGGGAGGAATGAAGGGACAAGAGACACGAAAGGTGACAGCAAGACAGGTGTCTGATCAAGCTGCAAACTTTTATTGTTCACACAGGGGTATTTATATGCTGGGGATGGGGAAGCTCTCTAATCAACAATTGCTGGTTGTGGGTGGTAAAACTGCCAGGTGCAAGATGTCTGATGATCCTGATAACCGCAGGATGCTCCAGGGAGATAGGTGGCTGCAGGATGCCTCCCAGGCAGGATGTCTCCCAGGGGGCTGTCAGGCTAATCTTTGAAGGAGAATTTCCTTCTAGTCCCTGACAAAGAAAGACAGGCTTAAACAGCAGAAATACCTTTTTACAATAAATGGATGGCATTGGAGAAGATAAAGCTAAGTGAAGTTAGCCAATCACAAAAAACCAAATGCCGAACGTTTTCTCTGATATAAGGAGGCTAATTCATATTGGGGTATGGAGGGGGAGCATGGGAGGAATAGAGGAACTCTGCATAGGGAAGAGGGGTCAAAAGAGAAGGGAGCGGGCAGGGGTTTAGCAATGATGATGGAATGTGATGGACATCATTATCCAAAGTACATGTATGAAGTCACGAATTGGTGTGAACATACTTTATATACAACCAGAGATATGAAAAATTGTATAATAAGAATTATAATGCATTCTGCTGTCATTTATTTTTAAAAAGTCAATTAAAAAATAAAAAAACCAAATACCTTTTTACAATTAAGTTGTCTTTTTTTTTGACTCTTTAATCTGGTATTTTATTTATTGAGATATAATTTGAATATTATAAAATGTGCCAATCTTAACTGTGTAGATCAATATTTTTTTACACATATGAACTGCCATCTCATCACTCTAATAAAACTATAAAACAACTATTTCACCATAAATTTCCTTGTGCCCTTCTCAGTAACACACAAAGGAAATAATTTCTATCAACAAAAATTACTTTTGTTTGTTCTTGAATAGAATGCAGCATTTGTTTCTTGTTTGGCTTTTTTTTTTTTTACATATTTCTGAGATTCATCTATATTCTTTCTTATGTCAGTGATCTATTATTTTATATGCTTTGTAGTGGTCTGTTGTAGCAATATATCAGTTTTCCATTCTTCCTTTGGAGTATATTTTTTTCTTCCCATTTTGGGAGCTATTATGAATAAAGGTGCAATGAATATTCTTGAACAATCTTTTGAAAGTATGAGCATTCAATTCTCTTAGGTAGGAAACTTGGAGTGAAAGTGCTGAATAATAGGATAGGTCTTAACAATCTTAATAAATCATGAAACAGTTTCCAAAATAGATTTAGACTCTCATCAGCAATGCATGAGAAATTTAATGTTCACCATATTCTCACAAACACTCTTGGAAGCATTCTGGTTGTTGTCTAGTAGTGTCCTTTTTTTTTCTTTTAATAGCTATATAATTATTGAACACAAGTCTACCTACATGCTAAGCACATACTCTACCATTAAGTTATACCTCCCAGCTCTTCAGTAGAATGTTATTCTGGTTATACCTTGCATTTTCCTGGTACTGCTAATGTCAAACCCCTTTTCATATATTTATTAACATTTGAAATTTCTTTTGTGAAGTGCCTGTGAAAGTCTTTTACTCATTTTTAATTGTCCTGCCCCCTCGTTACCCTTAGTCTTCTTTATCTATTCTGGATACTTGCCTAAGTTAAAATTCTACTTGGCGCATACTGAAAAAAAATTAATGAAGTATTAGAATGGGCAGAATTCTTTTCTAATTGAATGAAATCCAATGTCCAAGTGTTTTTCTTTTGTGGTTAGTACTTCCGTCTCCTTTCCCAGAAATTCTCACCTTCCCCAAGGTAAGATAAATATTCTGTGTTTTCTTTCAGAGACTCTAACATATTTTAAACATATAAGTCTATAATCTGTCTCAAACTAACGTTATATGCACCACCTGAAGTAGAGGTTAAATTTTCCTATGTGGATATCTAGGCTCTTTGGAAACATTCTGAAAAGTTCTTTTCATACCATCAAAGTACATAGATGCCTAGGTCAAAATTAATTTACACATATTGGATGATTTCTGTACTTACTATCCTGTTCCTTTTGTGTCTTTTTCCATCCTAACAAAAATACTGCATTGTCTCAGAGCTGGGTGCAGTGGCACATGCCTGCAATCCCAGCTGCTCTGGAGGCTGAGACAGAAGGATTGTGAGTTCAAAGCCAGCCTCTACAACAGCAAGGCACTAAGCAACTCAGTGAGATCCTGCCTCTAAATTAAATACAAGAAGGGCTGGGGATGTGGCTCAGTGGTCCAGTGCCTCTGGGTTCAATTGCCAGTACAAAAATAAATAAACAAACAAATAAATAAATACTAAACTGTCATAATTCATGTAGTTCAGAAGCATTTCTTCCTGCTGTATTTCTATTATTATTTTTAATACTTAGCAAATATTTTTTTAATATAATGTTTAGCAGTCACATCTGGAATTCTTTGCAAGTAGGTATTTTTCCTTCAATAATT